AGAGCTATCCCTTGTCCTGAGTCGCACAGGAGAACAAACTCATTACGATGCATACAACAGTGCTCAGCCAAATGTATGAGTTCCGTGTTGTATCACCAAGGGAGGTACTATGCAACCTCTCGTGGGAGCCCTGAAAACATTGCTCATGTGCAACTAATGTGAGAGATAACCATTTTGCTTCCAAGACTTGTCACCCGTGGAATTTACTATCCTCAGACGTGAAGAGTCTTCTATCAGTGAGCATCTTGGAGAGTCTGCTGAAAGTCTATCCAAAGAATGCCACGGGTGGTACACCCAATTCTGTGCTGTCTTATGTGCGACGTTTCGTGGTTTGCTATGAGGAACCCCATAACGAGTTAATTGCGAAACATTTATTCGAATGATGATTCTGGTCGTTTGAAACATTACAGGGGGCGATAAGACGACCGTTTGGTCTACGGTCATTTTGCACAGAATCGCCTAGTTCCCACAAATTTTCATCATATGAATAATAGTGGAGACACATCACATTCATCGCCCCTGTTTAATAAAATACATTTTTTCCTACCTGTGTAGGACACACCAATTGTACAGGCATGGATAAGTATTATTTAAATTACATAAATTTGGTTCATGGTAAAATTATAAGGTTGCAGCCATTTTGTCTATGGGAACAATATGATAACTAGTCATTCAATGGAACACATCAAGATATATAGAAATATTGTCTTCGCATTAACAAAAAAACCCAAGTATGTTTTGGATGGATTACAAATACTTGGGAAAAAAATAAAGCTTGAAGTAATTCCTCCATATAACTTTGGTGTGTACGGAATCGAGTCTTATTCTTGATTATATCCAATTGATAATAATTAAATAGTAATACACTTGTATACTTTTGACAGCATTTTCTTCGTAACATCACAAGTTAATAGTACTCAAAGTAGACCAATAATAATTACAGTTATATTCTCTTATAAGTTTAGAGATATATTTTAAGCAAAAGTTAGTAAAAGTAAGTAACCATTTAATTGATGGGAAAACAGCTAGATATTAGAAGCCGGCTTTACGATCAAAATGATTACTTAAATTACCTACCGATGACCTGTAAAATCGTAGAAGACAAGTGGTATTTATGAACCCTCATTTTTAAAACCACGGCGGAGGGCAGGTGGAACGGATAATACCTGGCCAAACAAATCGGAGGGCATTCATCATTCAATAGATATAGAAGGCCTTACGTATTTTAAAGATGATGTTATTCCTACTTGGTTGTTTGTTTAGTCCTTCTGTGTCCCTTAACCGCCTACGACATCTGAGTAGCCACAGATACCGTGTTGTAGAGGCTATGCGTGAAGTGTATAACGGCATAAGCCTTCGCCACATCACACGAGTAATTTACAATTGTATCCAGCTTTTTCCATTATGATGAGACCTGAGTCGAGTTGTGACTTTATACAGTAGAAATTATTGCGTCAAAGGGGTTAACTTGACCTCTGGAGCATTTGAGTACGGAGTTGCATCAGTCCGATGAAAAGTTTTACCACTGATGAATTCACAGTCATCCAGAATTTTCAGGTCTAGTTGCAACCTGAACTTTCCAAAAATTATAACTGTCTAAATCTTTACGTCTTTGGAGCAAAACGGTGTCGATCGGCTAATATGGTATGGCAGATCACTGACAAAGAACAAAAACATCGAGAACTGTGGCACAGAATCCTGAGAAATCCCCGATGAGGAGCTATTTCAGTTTGATCGGAGGGGATTGATTTTGACTTAGAATTTCCTTCTGTTTAAGTAGTCCTCTGAGTATGGGGAAAGCGAGTCACCAATTCCCACTGAACCTATTCTGTGAAGGAAAACGTCATGTGGCATAATGTTAGGCGCTTCTGAGAAATCGAGAGTGATAGCGTGAAATGAAACATCGGAATCCCAGTATGCTGTCCAGTCATTCCATGTCAATTAAGTATTTGTTGTAGAGGCTCCACTTCTCCTGAAAATATCATGCTTCATGTAGTGTTTTTCCTGTCAAGATGCTGCTTGGTCTGGTCATCAGACAGGCTTTCCAGCATTTTCAGTGGAATTAGGAGTGGTGCTACTGCTCTGCGACTCACTACGTTTTCCTGACTCCCACCTTTAGGAATGAAATGAGAGACGGCTTTGTTCCACTGCTTTGGCAGTTCTAATGAACTTGTGGAGCATTGGAACAAGTCACACTAGGAGCTGCAGAGAGCTTATACACAATGATCCAGAATGGACGAGCCCTGGATACATAGGAGGGTTCATTTGGAGCTGTTCCTAATAGACTCTCGCTTGGCCATTTAACAGTCGACCCCGTCTGGCCCTTAGCAGTAGTACTGATGGTGCTGTTCAGTTGCCTGTTTCCGCTATCTAAGAACTAGTGAGATATTAAATACTCAGAATGCCTACAAGATATATCATCTGGTGATGAGTTTTCTTCGCGGCATGAATGGATCAGACCTTTGCTGTTTTCCAGCGGTCTCCCGGTGAGGTTTGGCTGACCTCATTCTCATCCCAGACACTTATTTATAATCGATTCACGAATTCCGAGCATACCTACTGGCAAGAGGCTTCTGTCCTGGCTTTCAGACTATGCTGCGCATCTTCCTTCAACCAAGAGGGACGCATGCTGATGTGTTGTGGCTAGATAGACGACATTTCAGGTCGTTATGTAAGTGATGTAGGGAAACTTCCATGCGAATGGAAACGAGCCATCCTATCCCCTATCTTCAAGGGTGATGACCGGCAGAATGTGACCAGTTACAGACCAGTTGCGCTACTCCCAGTGATATCGAAGATATTGGAAAGTCTCATTGATCACCACATGAGAAAATACTCCAACGGGACTAACCTACTCCATGAAGCACAGCACGGTTTCAGGAGGGGAAGATCCTGTGTGACGAATCTTCTACTAGCTTGGAACGATTGGACACTATCCTGGGATGTAAAGGTACCAGTCCATGTGATCTTTCTCGACTTTGTGAAAACAGTCGTCACAGTTCACCATGGTCTGCTCCTTTACAAAATAAGCAAGGCAAGTGTTTCTGGAGCACTTCTCGCATGGCTGAAAGATTACTTAGGCGAGAGAGAATTCTGCAGCAAAGTTAACCGCATCCGATCATCCTGGCACACCTCGGCATCAGGGGTTCCTCAGGGTTCTATCTTAGGGCCGTTGATGTTTTTCATTTTTATCAACGACCTGTCCTGTCAACTGAACTGCTCTGCGCTTCTTTACGCTGATGACATAAAGATTTGGAGAGCAATAAACTCATCGGAAGACTCCGACAGATTGCAGGCTGACCTGCAAACTCTGGGAGACTGGGCTCTGGCTAACGGAATGCCTTTCAACCTAAAGAAGTGAAAAGTAGTGCAACTTCATTCCGGCAGGTCACAGAGTGCAAGTTACACCCTTGGTGGCCAGAGCTTGAGTTGTGTGCCATCAGAACGCTATCTAGGTCTTATTTTAATAGAAAAGCTAGACACCAGTGCAAATTACACGAGGGACGTCGCCAAAGCTTACACAACTTTACACTTTATGCATAGGCAGCTGGGAGCTCTTACTCCCGAACTATTCTTAAGGTTGTATACGACATACGTGAGGACACTCCTTGAGGTGCATAATATCATTGCTCCTCCGCTACTCAAAAGGGATGCTAACATTCTAGAAAGTGTCCAGAGACGAGCGACAAAATGAGTGATCGGTCTCTGCAACAAATCATATGAGGGAAGACGGAAGAAATTAAGTCTTTTCACACTTAGTTACCGTAGTCACAGGGGAGACCTCATCACCGTCTGTAAGATCTTAAATGACCAGGCCCACCCTAATAAGAGCATCCTGCCATTAAGTGATTATAGGCTTCCACGAGGTAACCCGCTAAGGATAGCACTCCAGAGACCAAAGACTCGAGTGCGTTCACATTTCTTTTCGCTTCGAGTTTGCCGTCTCTGGAACGCTTTACCGGCGGCCGTGACTACAGCGCCATCTGTGGAGACTTTTAAGCGGAAGCTGGACAATCATGCAGAAATGCATGGTTTGTGTCTCAATGGCTTATCCTCTTAAAATTTGAAACCACACTGTCAATGGATAAGCATACAAGCTAAATCCCCACGACCCATCCTGTCTTCTCTCACTGTACCGACTACTCTATCTTTTCTTTGGTCACCTTTATTATTTCACTTATCTCAACCTATATTATCTACACCATAACCTATTATTATTACTATTCTGCTTTTATGACTACACCGACTGACCAACGGGTGTTAGGTCAAACTTCATTCACGGCAGCAACTCAGTCCTAACATTCTGCACACTACAAACCACATTTTGACCAATCCCCTCACCACTCCTCTTAGAGTCTACCAGAGCTAAAGCAGTCGAGTGGCGGGACTTACTACGCATAAGTTCACCGAAGATCTGGAACTTCTACCTTACAATCAAGAAGCGAGCTCAAAGAAATCAAATTGGTTTATACTAGCTCGTAATCAGGATATTGGATTGTCACATCTGAAGTGCGTCGGTGGCACAGTGGTTAGGACGCTCGCCGACTATGCACATGGTTCGGGGTTCGATCCCCGGCCGACGCACTCCTTTACCTCGCTAAGCCAGAAATAATGCTGGTGAAGAGGAAAGGTTGGGCATGAGGCCAGCAACCCATCCAAAAAAAACTTCAAGCCCTAGCTTGAAGCCCTATGTTCCACTGGGAACGTGAAGGAATTAAAAAAAAACATCTGAAGTGCACCCATCGTTTGCCAAAATCATACTGGACGTCTGCAAGAAATAAGAACATTTGAATTATCAAGAAGCAAGCACCGATAAATCATAATTTTCGTACATACTTTTCTGAAAGATATTAGACTGTAAAATTTGCGTTGCTAGACAACCACTGAAGGGGAGATTTTAAAAGTTGGCGTAATCATCATATATGAGGCCGAGCATCAAGAACGTCAGCGAAGTCATAGATAGCCTCAGTGAGTCAAGTGTATGTTACATTTTACATAATATGGCATTTTCCGATCTGGAAGAAACTGATTTACAATCTCTTCTAACGACCCCAATACACTTTGAGGGTAAATTATTATTTGCCAACAATCCTTATTGCTAAGAAGTAGAGCAAAATCAAGCGGAAACACGATTGCCGAAAATCAACACTCGAAGTAAATTTGTTGGTGGAAAGGATAGTGACTTTCCTGTGGAATTCCTAAGTAAAGGATCGTGGTACCTTCACCTTGTGGCATTTTGTGCAAAATGTATACTTCCAGGAACCATTTCTGAACGTTTAATGCGTAGTTCACGGTTAATCGAAGCAATGTTAGACTGGATTTCAACTCCTCAAAATTACGTGGAATTCGTTGACTTCTGTTTAAACGAAAACAGCTTAAATACATTAATCTGTAGAGTCAGAGAAACAATCCAGTTTCTCTCGAAGGAATTAGCGTCATTTTTATGTAACATTCCGTCTTCGTATGACTCAGTCAGTAATCGTGAAAGAATTGGTGAGAATATTCTCTCACTAGTGATTCCAGAATACATTAGTGATATATTCATTTACTACAAAAACGAAAAGAGAAATCTTAGTATTCTTCAGCCATCTGAGAAGCACACTGACAAAGTTTCGCATCTCCTTTTGGAATACTTTGAAGCATTTTGGAGTACTGATGACAATGAACTGAAAATTTTACTTTCTATTCCTCTTAAGCAATTTCATGGTGAATACAGTAATGATATGAACAGGCCGAAAGTAGTTGGGACCGTTTTCAGTGATATGAAATCAAAGCCAGTGAATCTACTAAAAAATATTTTCTCTTTGCGTTTAATTGCCCTTGTATGTATTTGTAAAGCTGTCCTCGACTTATTCAAAGAAAGTATGAAAAATACTTCCGTTGTTCTGAAGAACCATCATCTTTATAGTGATGCAAACAATTTTATCTCGATATATGATATGTGTGCATTTGTCGCAGTAAGGTAATTTTAGAAGCCATCTTGAGATCTTAATTAAATGGTCAAACGAATTACCATTATATTAGCTGATTACAAAAGTTTACATTATTTTTCAATTCTAACTTGTCTTAGTCAGATAAATTTCGTGTAGTGGAGAAAATACTTATTCCCAAAACTTGGCTTTTATTTCCCATATAGCGTCCTATAGTCGTCCCAGAAAAAGGAAATAAACTGAAGTATAAATTGTAAAAACCTTATTTTGAAGCTCCTCTTCAACTGCAGGTAGCCTAAAATAGACATAGTATTAAAAAAGAGTATGATACTTTTTTCATTCTATTAGCAGATGTTCGGTATGAAGAGTTTAGTTTAAGTAAGCCACAACAGGTGAAGTATGATGGCGTAGTCAGTTAAAAATAACAAGAAAAAAGTGATTGGTTATCATAATTTTGCAGGAATATTTGAGAAATTCTGTTAGTTAATTACACAGCTTAAAACACTAATGGACCGGCATATGTTGATATGGGAGAAAAACATCACTTAAAACTATACGAGTTAGCATTTAGAAGTGATTAGAAATCAGTTATGTGAGTTAAGATTAATGGGTCAGAAAATGCCATGGTAACAGCAGTAATAAGAACTGTAAAAAGATAAAGACACGGAATACATAATTGTGTAACAATTTGAAAAATTGTTACCAGGCCAAACTAAGATTATTCACTGTTTCTTTCTGTATACACAAGTTTGGTTTGAGTTTGTTGATACCAACAGACTCAGCAAATAGAAGTAAAGCTGGATTTCTCTGCCTGTTACTTTTTTGATTATAGCTTGACTCCACACCGTATTTTTGGTACAAGTATGGAATTTTCAGCGTGTGATATCGGTAGTCCAATTTTGCAGGCCGACCATTGATATTGGGTGTGAGTCGGCAGGGGATAGAACCCCGGACCATGTGCATGGTCGGCGAGAGTCCTAATCGCTGTGCCACCGACGCAATAGTTAAACTGTCCAAAATACGAAATATATTTAACTACCTAGAAACTGTTCTTTGGAGACTGTTCACAAACAAACGAATGTAACACAACATTGAGTCAAATTGCATGAGTGTTTGACCACGTACCTTCAGTTTAATCATAAAATTAAAACAGTTAAGGTAAAGACTCAACGTCTATTAGTTATGTAGTGACAGGTTAAGGGTTTCAAGCAATCACTTACTGCTACGGCTTGTGATCACTCTTGCTGATTCTTTGATAAATATGTATTTTAATCTAGCATGGGATTACGAATAAGCATCTTTCTGATGTGACCTCAACTTGCTTACGTGATCTAGTATTCATGAGTAAAATGCCACTTGTCACGATGTTCTTAAAGTATTTTTGAAAAGTAATAAGTTGAATATTTTAAATGTATTGTGACTGCTAGATAAGTATACATCAAATAGGAAAACTTTGTGACTTTTGAACTGGACATTCTGTCTTCTTCTCTTGCTTTATTGTGATTTGAAGTGTTAAAAAGGCAGATGAGTTATTCCTCTTGAGACTATTACTTTATTGTAATTGTGTGCGAAACATTTCCTTCTGAATTTTTTTCCAGGAGAGTGTAGTCAAGTGACAATTTAAAAGCGTGTTTTGCGCTAGAAGCTGTATGAAGCATTTGTACAGTTTGAAATGTGCATGAAGTTTTGCTCGTTTCTTCGTCAATCCCCCATTTTATTATATCTCGCTCTGCAATATAGCAAAGGTGACTAAATCACCATTTTCTAAGAATTCATCTTACCTGTGAACAAAATAACACGTAAAATCTAAACTTCCACAACAGTATTATACTTGAGCACAGTTTTGCATTACTCTATTTTTAAAGTTGTTTAAAATGACTTCAAATTTCACGAAGAGTTCTTTGCAAGTAAAATCTTGAGACTCTTCACTTTGTGTGATTTCAACATTTTTGCACATAAAATTTTACAAATATGTAGTTAGAACTAAAAAGAGAAGTGAAAAAATGCATATATAACCATGTAGAATAATTATGAAGATCATGTTTTGTTAAAAATGTCTATTTTAGTGTTAGTTTGTAGGAATTTGATTTGTTTCAAGTTTGACCACAGACTGATATCAGTTATAGAACCACTGAAAACCACCAGGGAGTACTGGACAGCTGTTTCTTCCTAGTGTGGGATTCACCTGAAGTAAGCACCCATTTCAAAATAATATGATGCTGACATTAACTGCCTACAGGACGAAGTTTCCTGAAGTTAGAGTGAGAAGTCGTGGCCAGTGGAGTTCACCTGATTGGGAGTGAGGACAAATACTCAGGAAGACATTGACTGGCGGTGGTGCCATAATCATGGATTGGTAGAAGTTAGAATTCATGGGCTATTAAGTTGAGTCTCATTGGCTGAATGGTCTACGGGCCTACATTGTAACAGGAAGGTCCTAGGTTCAGTAGGTCTGTAATATCAATGAGACACACACTAGGACAAAGAGTTGTCCACTACTCCCTGGTTTTCAGTGATTCTCTGACTGATGTCAATCCTTAGCCAAATTTAAAAATGTCTTTCATATCTAGCTGTTCAATAAAGTGACTTACTTTTGAAGTCATTTGAAACTTTTGCAATTAATAGTGTTCTCTGAGCTGGTTGGTTTAGTTGCGGAGCTTTCGTCCTCCTTCTGGAAAACATCTTCAGCGCAATATTTAGCACAAAGTGAAATGATTTAAATTTCCTCATGAGTGATATAATTGCGTCTCCTGGTAACTATCTTTACATATGTATTGACCATTTTCTATTGACTTGGATTTTAAACTTTCTGGTCACCTGATTTACTTTTTATTAGTTGGTATATTTCGTCTATTTTAACGTGCTTGTTAATTGCATTTTCGTTTGAGTACCAGGCTTCTAGGAATTCCCTGGCACTTTTGGTGTTTCCTCTGTCTAAGATTTTGACATTATCCCAATCAAACTGATGACCATAATTGTCTATATGCATTGATACTAAAGAATACATATCGTGTCTTTTCACGGCTGATTTGTGTTCTTGGATTCTGATTCGAAGGGGACGCCCACTTTGGCCGATGTAATGCTTGTTGCAGTTCATACAAATTATTTTGTAAATGCTTTTAATTTTATCCCCTTTTTCTGTTGGATCTTTTGGTTTGCATAATATCGAATCAAGCTATTTGACTGGCTTGTGTGCTATGTCTATATCAAACGGTTTCAGTATTCTAGCTGTTATTTCAGAGATATTTCTCATGTATGGTAGAATGAATTTTCTTGTGGTCTTTGATGATGGTTTCTTGTTGGTGTTTTGATTCGACTTTAAACACTTTTTGATGAAATTTTGTGGATAACCATTCTTTTTGAAGACCGTTTGTAGGTACTTTTCTTCCATTCTTTTCAACTCCGGAATGCTACAATGTGTTTGAACTCTTTTGAACAGTGTCTGCACACAGTTTCGTTTGTGAGTAACTGGATTATTGCTAGTATAGTTGAGTATTTGATCTGTGTGCGTTGATTTTCTATATACTTGTGTTTCTAAATCTCCTGTGTTGGTTCTCCTGATTATTATTATTATATTATTATTGTATCCTTTTATTCCTAGGGGAACATAGGGCTTCAGCCGTGCGTCTCCGTTCCGTTCGGTTCTCTGCTAGAGTCTTCACCTGGCTCCATGTCTGCCCACACGTTTTCATCTCCTCTTCACATGACCTCATCCAAGTCACCCTTGGACGACCAACTCGCCGCTTCCCTTTCGGGCTCCACTCAAGGGCTTGTCTAGTGATGTCACTTGATCGTTTCCTCAGAGTATGGCCAATCCATCTCCATTTCTTTCTGCATATTTGTTTCACAATCGGTTCCTGGTTGGTTCGCTTCCAGAACAAAGCTGCTACAGAAACTTCAGCACGATGAATCTCCTGATTAAGACATCTAAAAATATTGCGCTGAAGATGTTGTCCAGAAGGACGACGAAAGCTCTGCAACTAAACCAACCAACTCAGAGAACACTATTAATTGCAAATCACCCACCTGAGCTACAAATCTTCTCAATTATTTCATTTGAAACTCGCTTATAAAGCAAATGACGATAGGTAGATTGTCACCCATTAAAAAATAAACAGCCATATTGGTGGTTCGACTACACATGACAAATATGATGGACAGAATGTCATCTCTCATTTTCTCTTCTTATGATGCTGATATGTTTACCCTTGTTGACTGGTAACTGATAGTTGCAATTATTGTTGCATAACTGATCGGAATTGTTAAAAACAGCAATATCACACACCACACCAACTCCTTAGGTTATTCTCTGATTGTTGTTGTCAAAATATTCCGCATCAAAAAGGTAGGACTCTAGATATGCTTCACTTCTTTTCCAAGTTCTTTTTGTAGCTTAGTCAGTTAAAAGTTCAAATAACTGTCCAAATAAGGTACATATCTTGTTAACGAATTCTATTTATTCCATAAGTATAAAGTTGGTTAAGAAGGTATTTATATCGTGTCTGGTTATCTATGCAACTGGATTGTAAACAAATTCTAATAAACTGTGGTTTTCGTAGAGCTTTTCATTGATGTATATTTTTTTCTCCTATATCTTTTTATGTATCAAATAATTCCGGAGTAAGATTTGTGAAATGAATTGCTATACCAACTAAGGATTATATTGTACCTGACATGTAAATCTTTTTTATGAAATAATACTTAATGTGTAACTTTATCAGTAATCTGGTGAATAAATTACACTCTACTCCTCGATTAACAAGAGTCTTTAAGACTGAAAACAGAGATGTATTGGATATATTCCAACCACACTGAAAATGCACATCAGTGATCACCAACGATGACAGCAAACACAAGTAACTACACTGGTTGAAAGTGATCAACAGTCAGTCTGGATGCAAGATCTGTGCTCATCACTAGACTTGACATTCTTGGACTTGATGTCACAAGCAATTATCTATGAGTATAACTGGAAGGCCACAAGTTAAGGCAGTACAACAATCCAGGATCTTTTGGTAAAAGAAATGTAAAGAAGCTCCTTATTGGCAAATTATAAGATTGCCGATCAGTAATATTTACCTTACATTCACAGAAAGACTACTTCAATAGCTTTACCGTTTGTCATAATTTTACAAAAGTCAAAAGAATTTCAGTTTGAAATATACAATTAAATGAAAAACTGAATGGTGCTTTACAGCCTTTTTATTATTTCTTTCTAGTTTCGAAAAATTAAATGTTTTAAAATACCTTATAAAAACTGGCAAAATCCATCCATCAAGATGCATCGATCCAGATGGCAGGAACTTAATTATAGCAGCGACAAGTGCTAGTAAAATAGATATCATAAAATATTTAGTTACTGAGGTAAGTAAGTGGTTCTCGAGAGTGGACTTTAATTTATTCGAAATATTTTATGTGTCACTGTTTACAGCTGTAGTCAAATATCCTACTGTTATTCTTAGGATAAATACACAATGTCTAATTTTGTACCAGTCAGTGTGACACTGATGGTGGAGACTAGTCGATAATATGATGTTCAGGTAAAAGTGTTTGATGCATACTGGTTACTGACTTCTACGTTTCACTGATTTGTCCTTTATTGTTTCTGAGGTTTTCAAGTTCTCTAAATGTTTATTCACACGAAACTGTCCTGTATGTAAATGAAAGCTTCACCATAGAAACATCCCCACATTTTCTCTAATAACGTGTAAATTTAGCAGCATAAAAAAATAGAATGTCTAGAAGAACTTCTATCTAGGTCAGCAATCCATATCGCCTCAAAATATTTGACAAACTGTAGCCGTTTCGTTCTAGTTTCGCAGCAGTGGATATGTGCGGTTACGACGGCAATAAAGTTGAGAACTAATGGATTATGAGATAATTTTTTTACTAGATTGAAATAAAATGGCCGATTATTTCCAACTATATCAAGTTTCTAAAAAGAAATTAAGACTGTGGATTACTGCCTATTCCAGGAAGAAATGGTTAAATGAAAAAATTTGAAAATTATTTACCAAATAGGCTGTTGCAGTTGATATTCCTCAATGAATGAATGAAGGTGACTGCCACGTTACCTCACGTGTTTGAATCAAATTTCTCATGAATTCATTGATTCATACTGTTGAACTATGTTGAGATATCCATCGAATACGGCTTCTTTCCCATAGCTTTCTTCCTGAAAATGCCTTCTAGGCTGATAGCTACTACCTTGAGGTGGTGGTTAGGCTTGCAGATCGCTGTGAACCAACAAGCTACACTGATTGGAATGAATATTCTATCAGGTCCCACCATGCTATAGACGTTGTCTAGGTAGTGGTTTAACTAAAAACAGCTACTGTCATGAATTTAGTGGTTTATAATATGAGAAGTGAAGTTGTTCTCCTGGCAAACACAGAAGTGACAACTGTATGATGTTTCCCTCAGGCAACCGGCAAACCAACTGTGCTACTCCGCTGCTCTGGGGAGACAGGAAGTTAGGAAGGACTGACCCCGGAAGTTATACATTCATATTTACCCTGCAGCAAACTGCAGCTGACGATAAGTTATTCAAACGGGTGCAGTTTTAGCAGGGATTTACATCGTCTCAACAAGAACTGCTAGCCAGTCAATGGAATGGTTATAGGCTCACAAATATGCTCTATTCTGACTTCCTTCTGATAAAACAGATCATTTAAAAATATGTATTAGCACTGATGTTACACGGTTCATTGATAATAGCATCAATAAACAGAAGTACAACTTATAAATAAACTTTCTATACATTTACAAAATTACCTATGCAGTTACTGACTATGAATATGAGCCATAGAAAAAGTTATTGATTAAGTGATTGTGGTTTTCGTTAAACTAGAGGTTTTTGACTGTTGAAATGTCACCATTGTGCACATTCTTTCTACCTTCTAAATTTGAAGCCCTAGACAGTTTACTGTTCTTTATTTGTTCTGCTTTAGTTTAGTATTCATCTTGTTTAATGCAGCAAATTTTACCTGTTATTAAGCTTGTCCTTTTATGCTGTTGAGGAATATGAGACACTGTTTCATAATGATGTCTGCTTTTCGAAAACATATAAACTATGGTCACTGTCATTGTATTCAGTATTCAAGATTAAAAATGGATGGTTATTTCTGGTACTGGTCTATCCATTTGAAGCAGAATAGAATAATGCGATTCCGCCTAGGTTTTATAAAATTATTCAGTTTAAAAATTACGTTAATTACATAATGAAGTCAGATGAACAGATGTTGGAAATCAAAGAAACAATAAAGAAATGTCTAAGCATACCCATGTGTCATTATTATGGCATATTCTTTCGCTCAGATAAAGTCAGTTGGTTATGAATACAATGGTTTACACTTATCGAGAAATACCTATTATCCTTTATCACAAGTCGAAGAGATAAATTCCACAGACTGCAGAGGACTAAATTATTCTCATAATTTATTAGAAGAGCAATGAAATTTACATTCTTATCAATAGTATAATTTTAAACAGATGGTTGTTACTTAGAATGCATAGAGTTTTTGATCTACACGGCAGCATTGATATTTCGATCAGTTGGCAGAAAGTTCTTAACTTATGCAACTTCCTGCTGAACAATAGTTTGCTGTGGGTTCACCAGTTTCCCCAATAGTCGCTGACCTATTCATGAATACGTTTCAAGATAACATTTTTCAAGCATATTCACTCCTAAAATATGGTTAAGCTATGTAGATGATACTTTTGTAGTGCTAAAACAAGATCTACACAGTTCATTCCCGGAGAAAATAAACGGTGTATCTCCCAGAATCCAGTTTACTTCGGAAGCAGAATCAGATGTCTGTGAACTACCATTTCTAGACTGCCTAGTTAAGAGGAGGGAAAACGGACATTTTAGTATATCTATATTCAGCAAGAAAACCCACTCCAATAACAAATATTTAGACTTTGGATCATCACACCCCATCAGTGCAAAAGTATTAGTTGTTTCAAGTCTTCTTAGACGAGCACACTCTCTGATAACGGATGAGGAAGAAAAAGAAGAAGAAATATCAAACATTACTGAAACTCTCAGGCAAAACAACTACCCAGGGAACTTCATCAACAAAATCAACACAGACATTAAATATGGCCGAAAACGCATCCCGAAAACATGGACATCAACAGTCGTCATTCCATATAGAGGAGAGACGTCAGACGATATCAGAAGATTACTCAATAAGCTCGACATTAGAGTTTTCTTCAAAACATCGGACACTGAGAAACAACCTTGTCCATATAAAAGACCAAATCCCCAAAGATTCTCTATCTAATTGTGTCCATAAAATAAAATGCTTGGGATGTGATGTGATATACATAGGACAAACATCTCGAGAAATCAAAATCAGAAGAAATGAACACCGTAGAGCATCTGTTCGACCACCGAGAAACCCGGCTGAACTAGAAAAGCTTGAAAAATCATCAGCCATAGGTCTACACGCTATAGAATCAGGCCACAAAATTGATTTTGACAATTTTGAAATAATCCAGAAAAATTTCAGAAATCACAAAGAACGTCTAATATCAGAAGCACTTCATATCAAGTGGAATCCAAATTATCTGAATAGGAATGATGGACTAAAACAGAATTTGACCTGGTTACAACACCCCATCCCCCATGAAGTGACAAAATCAACACGAATGTGATAAGCAAGTTCACTATGTAAACACACACTACTTTTATAATTTTACACACTTATCAAATCCAACAATCTACACTTGGTTTTGTTATCTTTACCAATTGGACAATTTGACAACGAAAAATGACCCCATACTGAAGAACGATGATCAAGTTAGTAAACTTTGTTTTGATACGATAGCAGATGTACTATTACCTTTGTTATTTGGTTTAGTGATCTTCATTATTATTTTGACTTTCAATATGTCCTTTTAACTTGACCTAAGTCTATTTTCTCACCTCTTAACTCTTTGTTATATATAGGCTGAGATTTTGTAAATTCTGGTTTAATAATACTTTGATAAAGCTATTAGCATTAAATAGCGAAACGTCAGTAGGAACAATGTCGTTTTGTTCTTCATTCATTGGGAAATACAAAAACCTTTATTATAATTCATAGGATAGTTGTCAAATAGATTTTGAAGCAGTTGTTAAAGGTTAGAATCGAAATGGTTCTTTACTGTTTAGGAGTATAAAACCAACTGTAAAAAAGATCGAAAGCTACCGAAGTATTTCATTGATGAAAATGAAGAAAACCTTAGTTATGCGCCATTTTAAAGGCTTGACCAACAAGTGAAGATAGAAAGCAGTACATAATTAAGTAATATGAGACTAAGTGCATAGACTAAGTTAAGCGATTAATTTCCCTCTGCTAACATCAACATTGTACCCCATCACATGTGGTTTAGTAACTGTAGGAATAAATCAGCTAATAACTCCTTCCTGTGGTATTCATTTGGCAGTAGTGGAGGCAATTTAGTTAGCATTGATAGATAAAAATTTCTAATACCTATAAATAAATCAAAAAGTAGAAGGAATTTTTCTGATACAAACTTATTTTAAAATAAGTGTTAAAAAAACTAAGATTTTATAGACTCATGTAGTCTTGGTAGAGGTGAAGTAAATATTCTATCCGAAGGATTGTGTAAACAAAATATGTGAGTATTTATCTTGATGCTGCATAAATGTATTCCTTATCTGCTGCCAGTTATCGCTATCAACAACTGGATGTTAAGTTTGCCCACCTCTATTTTCATATATCTGATCAGATTTACTTGACTACTACAATTCGTATATTGACTTTCAGCTACTGTACTGTCTCAGGTTACATTACTTTTTATGGCGAAGTAAAACTATCATAGCCAAAACCACAGTGACTTTGGACAATCAGTAAGAATTCAAATGCAAAACATGTCGCATAATCTTTGAAAAATGCACTAAAATACATTGTAAACATGATATTACACCGCATAGTTGTCCCTTATGGGTTGAAATAATGTCTCCCAATTACTATACAGATAATCTAATGACATATCATACTACTCGCGATAGATGCATTCATCCAGGCGACTGTAGGTCATGATGCTTTGAGATCTATTGATATTTCTACTCCTGACTTTAACCCTAAACCTTAATATAAACTGCCATAATCCCAACTAAAAGTATAGATTTACAAAAGCAGCACCTAAGGAATAAGTAGAATACTGTATCTACCTCCTACAAATCCAAAAAGACAGACATTATTTGATTTGGAATGATCTTTTTTTAGCATTGCCTGCATCTGACTGGTTCTTGAAGGTCAACTTTTGATAGACCTTGATTCACCCCTTTTATTAGTAATGTCGTCTACTAGGTTTCAATTCCTACCATTCCACTTAGCGATCAACTAATTAATCTTATTGTAAACCTACTGCTGCCTGATTTTCTAGAAAGTACTATTCATGTTTTTGAAGATATTGTAAGAGCTATTGTTGTTAAGTTTTGACGAAAGTTGAAAAAGTGATAAACATTGAAGTGCGTTTACAAAAACCTTCAGTGGAAGATACTTCCTTATTACAACCAGAAATAAAAATATGACTTCACCAAAGATTAGCGCAGAAAATCACTAGGAAATTGAGGAATTATACCAGGTGACTACATGTCCACTCGAAGATTATAATAATTAATAGTCATGCCACATTTCATAGTGAAATTGATGAGGAGTTTGAATATTTCAGAGTGAATATATTACTTTAATAGATTCTTTTCTTATATAGGTCGAACCTCCTATAAATATTAATGATAAATCACATTCTGGAAATACAGCCTTGCATATTGCTGTTTGCTTGAATAACTTAGATTTGGTCAAATTACTAGTTGACACAGGTGGAGCTTCTGTGGACCCTGTTAATATAAATGGGAATGGCACGACTCCATTGCATATGGCTGCTATGTATGGTAAGTTTATTGTTTAAAATATCAAACACTTTTGAAGATATATATATATTATAGGATACTGATCAGTGTCATTCTGTAGAGTTCAAACATATAGTAATATCACGTCAGGTTGCTTCACAATAAGGTTATGGATCTGCTTGACTCGATATTATAATGTTGTTGATGGAGAACTCATTTAACCAAGAGATGCTTTTAACGCCAGTTAGGATCATTTCACATTTAAGACCACAACTTACATGCTTACCTCTAGTGGTGTGATAATAATAGCCGCTCATAAAAATGGACGAAGTCCACTGGATTTACAAATTTAGAAGCGATTGTCGGGCAAGAGTAAACAATAGACACCAAAGTCAAACGACCTTGAACCGACCAATCAGATCATTCACATTCATAATGGATGCTGTTCATGAACTTCGTTGCAAGTTTCACCCAGATTTGGTTTTTGACTTCTGTGTGGAAAATGGGTTGATAGGGAGGTCTAAAACCTGCATATGTGGAGGGATAATGACGCTACAAAAGTATTGACGGCTACGCATTTAGATGTAACCACTGTTATATGAGGAAGTCTGTGCGAGTTGGTAAGTCGTACATTATGGTGATTTTTTAGATACTTTCTTCTCCAAATCGAAACTGCCCCTTGGTAAAATATTGCGTATATGCCACAACTGGCTACTAAAGCGACCAATATCTGCTACAGCTGTAGAAACGGAGAATACAAAGTGCAGTGGTATCAGCACTGCTAAATGGGATCACCTCCGTACTTGGCGTCGTCGTGCATGTTGACGAAACTGCACTTATTAAGCGAAAAATGAATCGTGTCTGGAGTAGAGCTGGGACTTTGCGACACAAATCTTAGTAAAGGGTTTGTAGAACGCATCCCGAACAGAAGTGCTGATACCTTAATACCAATTATTCAACGACTTATATATATATATATATATATATATATATATATATATTATAAATACACTTTTTTTAAACAATTTTATGCCACTTTTTAACTGAAAGAATCTGATTGGTTGTTTCAAAGTCGTCTGTAATTGGTGTCTATTCTTTACTGTTGCCGATTGTAGAATTCCTCTTGGTAAAACATAATTTCATTTATCAATATAAAAAATAAAGTCTTAGTGATTAATTTACTCGTTTGAAAATCCTTCTAATGGTTTATTTAAACAAGTGTAAGGAATTGTGCATCATTTAAAAGAATATTGAGCTGAGATACAAATAAAGCAAAAGAAAAAGAAACATTAAACAACAGATTACTATGATAAAAAAAACTTTAAATTATTCAAGTATGTATTGGAAACCATTATATTGAACATTTAAGCATTTTGCTGGACCATTCAAAAATATAAAAACAATAACAAAAATAGCTTTATTCCGTAAAGTACATTAAGATACAATACAGAATTTTCATTGTTTTCATTGTAACTTTTATGTGTGTAAAATATGCAGATGCAATAATAAAACAATTTGTCCTGTATTTCATACTAGCCGGTAGGTTTTAATTTCAAAACCGTTCAATCGTGAACAAGATAACTGCGGACAGTCTTAAAAATGTCTATAACTGATACTGGTTTATCTAAAGGTATTAATTATAAAGTAGGAGTAGAGTAAATAAAACTTTAATGCCTGAAACACTAAATGTTAAGTATTAATTTCAGTAAGAACACTAATACTAACCAGAATGTAGACATATTTAATTATCGATTTCCGAACAGGGCAAAACCTGCATATTGTGTTTTACTATTTCATACAACAGAATAACATCACAAGCATTATGAAAGCAGCTCTACATGGCGCATTATACATGTAACAAACATTTCGGGAAGATGAAAATAGTGAGTAGCCAATGTGATGAACTTACACAAACTTGATAGGCTAAATAGTTTACAGTTTACAATTTATTTAGGATAGTAGGCTATATGCCTGTGTTAATCCTTTCGATTTGTTACACACAGGAGGTCCAATATCGCCTTGAATGAATCAACAGATGGCGCTGATACGACGTGTTCCGGTAGGGAGTTCCAATGGTTCACAATCTGATGCGAAAAACGGATCTCCAAACACAGACGATTCGACCGTGGTTTTTGAACCTTGAGGTGATGTCCTCGCAATTGGTTGGTGCTAGAAGGAAGAAATAAATTAGATAAATTTGCTCCAAAATCATTTCTTAGGATACGGTATGCTAGTATTAGGTCACCCCTAAGTCGTCTGTATGACAGTGGAAATAAACCCAGTCGACTTAACCTCTCTTCATATGAGAGGGTTGAGAAACCCTTTATTAGCTTAGTTCCTACTCTTTGCACCCTTTCTAATAAGTCTATTTCGTATTTGAAACACGGGCTCGCTGCCTGGATCCCATATTCCAAATGAGGTCTGATATAAGTCGGATATAATATACGAAATATTTCAGCGTCAAAATTCGCAAAAGCTTTGCGTATGGCCCATAATATTCGAAAACCCTTAGTGGCTGCAGCTCTACAGTTTGTTGCTGTTTTCAAGTCATGCTGCACAACCACTCCCAAGTCCTTGTACTCAGTGACCACTGGAAGAGTAATGCCATTCATTGAGTAATTGTGCACGTGACTATGAGATACATGCATAACTACACTCTTGCTTAAGTTAATCTCCAAGGCCCAGTGCTTACACCAATCACTTAACAAGTTTAAATCTTCCTGCAAAGCAAGTTGATCACTGTCATCGTGTAAAGCCCTCCATATCTTGATGTCATCAGCAAACAGTAAGCAGGATGACCTAACTACCGATGGAATCTCATTAACATAAATCAGGAAAAGAAGTGGGCCTAGAATTGTACCCTGAGGAACGCCATTCTTAACCGATTCCCATGTTGATAAAACCCCGTTAACTCGTACTCTTTGTCTTCTGTCCTTTAGAAAGTCTTGAATCCATTCGGCAACCACTTTATTGATTCCCAGACTACCTAACTTTACTAGAAGACCTGAATGAGAAACCCTGTCAAACGCCTTGCTAAGGTCGATGAATATGGCATCCACCGGTATATTAGCATCAGCTGAGCTTGCCCAACTTTCTCTGGCCAAAAGAAGGTTGGTCAAGCAAGAATGACCTGCTCTAAAACCATGCTGTTCCACAGCGAAAAGTTTGTTCCCTTCGATGAAGTGAATGATAGCATCATGAATTATTCTTTCTAGTAGTTTAACAACAATACTGGTTAAACTAACAGGACGATAGTTCTGAACTAAGTTTCTAGATCCGGTTTTGAAGACCGGACTAATGATGGCATCTTTCCAGTCTCTTGGACATTTAGACTGGTCCAGAGACGTACTGAAGATTACCGACAATGGCTCGGCTATGTTTTCAGCCAATGCTGTTAATATACGTGAGTGGAGTTCATCAGGGCCACGCGACTTACCAGGATTGAGCCTTAGAAGCCACTTTAGGACAGTATCCTTTCCAATGTATAAGGGTGCCATTTTCAAGTTACCTTCTGGAAAAGTTACAAAGCTGGTATCAATATTATCAGAGAATACTTGACTAAAGTGCTTGGACAAAGCCTCAGCCTTAGTCAAGTTATCCTCAGCCATGTTTGTCTGGTCATCTTCAAGCATAAGAGGTGGGATAGCATCACTCTTACGTGTTCTTCTCTTGATATATGAGAAGAGTCTTTTTGGGCAGCCTGGTGAACTTTTGACTAACTGGGTTTCGTAAGCTATCCTTGACTGGTGAATCAAAGTTTTACACTGGTTTCTGGTTTCACAGTATTTCAGCCGGAACTGCTGTAGCCCAGTAGAAACAAAGAGATTCCAGAACCTTTTTTCTCCGTCTTAGGAGTGTTATAGCTTGTCTATTTATCCATGGTGGCCGGTTTGTTGGTCTTTTAGGAACCCTCCAGGGAATGAAATCAGTGGTAACCCTCTCAAGTGTATTCTTAAATCTATCCCATTCATCTTCAATGGATGAGACAATATTGACTGACCAGTCGGCAGTTGAAGCACGCTCCTTTATAGCGACTATGTCAGCATGCCAAACACTAGGTCGGGATTTGGGTTGAAAACTGACTAAATTGCCAGCCCTTAAGTTAAAATCTAACACCCCATGATCACTGTTTGCTAGAGGTGGATGAATAACTAGACCATCCACGTCGTCGTTGTCATGAGTAAGCACTAAGTCCAGCAAGGAAGATCCTTGGGTAGAACCGAATCTTGTACTACCTAAGACATGTTGTGTCAGGGCATTTTCCATGGTAGTCAAGAGTAACCGGCTGTCAAACTTATTAGTGGATCCTCGAGATGTGACAGCTACCCAGTCTATATGAGGTGCATTAAAGTCACCTAGAATAAGACAGCTACTGTGTTTACTCTATTGTTTGAGGTGATCTAAAATAAAGTCATCACACTGACAAAAGGGACTTCTATACAGAACACCAATGATTAAAGTGCCAGTTGCAAAGCTTACTTCACAGCTAATTACCTCACTTGCCCCACTGTCATGCGCTTCAGATTTCACGGAACGAACATGTAGGGAGTTGTTGATGTACAGAGCAACCCCGCCACCTCTACGACCCTTAACCCTGTCGCTGCGCAAGCAACTAAATCCGCATAGCTCAGGTGTGTCATCTAATCCAGAAACCAGCCATGTTTCAGTAATGGCCACAATACTTGGGCTAAGGTCTTCCACTAATACACCTAGCTCATGAAATTTGTTCCCGATACTACGTATATTAGTGTACACTACCTTCAGGCTTCCTATGCGATCCGGCTTATCCACACAGGTCTTGGAAGCATACGTTTCCAAGACCTGACTATTTGAAAACCCACCAGTTTAAGGTTAGTCTCACCATTTTTACGTCTTGTTTCTAGCTGGGACAAAACTTCTTTTCGTTTAAGTCTGTCTTCAATAGATAAATCAGGTCTGACTGAAATTCCTGACCCGGCAAGGTTGTGTACATTAGCCAGTAGATGATCCCGTTCATCAGGAGAACCTAAGACTACTTTAAGCAATCTACGCTGATTAGAACATTCATCATCTCTTTTGCCTATTCTAATCAGCTTTTTAATCGATACTCCAGGGAAATTCGCTGGGAGCATCTTCCTTATGATACTACTCACTAATTTAAGGTCGTGATCGTGCCTTTTTACGGGATCAGATTCTTTGGACTCTTCTAAGTTTCCAACAATTATGTTAGAGTCTAAGAAGAGCTTGTCGTGTTTAGCAGTGGCTACGTCTTTCCTCACCACTATTGATGCAGCCTGGCTACAGATGACAGACGTTTGCCTACCATCAATATTACTATGTTTCTTCCGATTGCTTATTTTCGTTACCCACTGATCATCTACCGGCAGTTGCAGTAATGGTGTACAGTCGCCTACCTAAGTATATTATGTTTAGAGTTAAACACAGACCGATTATATCAGGAGGTGTTTATAGCGCCAGAAGTTGTTGAGTGCTGATATGAGCTAACAACTTGTTTGACTTTCTTAAGATCTAGGAATTTTTGAGAAACCTAGGTGATAAGACTCGTTGTACCTTAAGTAGTACAAATGAATTGATTCTCTATCCCTACTTTTCAATTACTGTTTAAAATTGCCGTATTTCGACAAAATGATGCTTTATTTAGTATTGTGAAAGTTTTTTATTCCTTGACGTTCCCAGTGGGAAATAGGGCCTCAAGCTAGAGGCTTGAAGTTTCTGTATCAGTGTTTACTTTTACAGGATGGGGTTGCCAGCCTCATGCCCAACCTTTTCTCTTTACCGGTCTTGTTACCGGCTTAGTGAGGTAAGAGAGTGCGTCGGCCGGGTATCGAACCCCGGACCACCTGCCTGACTGGCGAGCATTCTGCCGCTGTGCCACCGGCGCACATTATGAAATTTAAAAGGGAAATATGATTTTAGGGCATAGTCCACTCGTCTAATTCATACCATAATTTAGCTTTCTATTTCAGCAACAATCCTTATTGTATTTCATGGTTCACAGCAGCTTTGTTCTTTTAACTAGTCTCACTTTCTGATTCTGGTTTCTTTTATAATATAATTTTAGTCTTAATTATTTCCTGCTTTTGCCGTATTGTGAAGCGGAACACAGCATAATAGGTTTTTTCGTGCATTTTCGTCCTTAATAGTTTAAAAATTATTGAATGCTTGTTCAAGGTAATATTTACGAATGACCTTAAAGGATATGTAAAAATGCTCGATTTTTCTCCAGTGAATCTATATTTCCACAATTTAATATTATTTTTCTCTGCATTATTACAGGTCATACTAGTGTTGCAGAGTTTTTAGTTCAGCGTTCAGCTGATTTGAATTCCAGAACAACACTAGACGGTTTAACACCATTTCAATTAGCTCATACATATCATCATTATGAATTGGCTAACTGGTTGCATCAAATGAATACAGTACATCGTAAAATATCACCATCATCAAGTATATCAAAACACTTATCATTAAAACAAACTACACTGGAATATTTACGAAAGAAATTTCAATAAAGCAAAATCAAACCAATTGGACAATTAATCTCTGCATTTATCTGCAACAGAAGACTCATTCTGCCAACTGCATGAATAATATATATATATATATATTCGGCCTATTAGTAGTGTTATTCTGCACATTGAATGATGATGTTTGAATTTCTCTCTTCGAATATAATCGATGTATCAATGTGCGATTTCTTGACAGTTGAAATGACACTACTATGCATAACAACTACTCATTACAATGGTTTCTTTATTCTCAGAAAGATATGAAGAAGACAATGTAACTAAATAAAGCCAAATTTACTTTTGAAATAGTTGGTTTTTGATTGTCAATTAGTCTGCCGAAAAATATTGATTTGTGTACATGTGTGTTTGTATTCGTTGGTAAAACTTGTGTTCTAAATTAAGCATTTCGAAATATCCTATTCAGTTGACAAGTTTATATGGAATCAAGGGATTTCAAAGTAGGTTTTTTTATCATTCAATGATACTAGATGAGAAATAAGAAGGAATGGTTATCCTGTTTCTAATGTGAAACTCACATCGTTATCCAGAACTTAGTTACAGACAGTTATATCTCACTTCAAACATCTTACCACCTAATTAATGACATAAAACTCAATGACCAGAGTCTTTCAGTTCATGGGAATTTGTTAAACAGTACAGCTGTAAATTATTGTCTCAAATGGATACCTTTTGAATCTACAGACACAACTGGTCGTTAGTGCTCAATAAAATTAAACTAAACACTTCATGAATTTATTGAGTAATGAGTCGTTTTTAGGGCTTGTGAGGTGTTGAATAGCTTCATTTTAGGTTTCAAGTTTCTTTTTATTCCTTTGCGTTTCCAGTGGAACATAGGGCTTCAATCTAGAGCTTGGAAGTTTCAGTAGCAGTGGGCTTTTTTCACGGGGTTAGGTTGCTAACCTTATGTCCAACCTTCCCTCTTTATCGGCCCTACTACCGTCTTAACGAGGTTCAGGAGTGCGTCAGCCGAGGATCAAACCTCAGACCACGTGAGGCGTGGTTGGTGAGCATTCTACCGCCACACCACTGACTCACATCATCATGATGTTGGAATAAATGTTTTTGTTCTCAGTCTTGTGAGACATAAATAATTCATGTCTCTCAAATTTGTTTAGTTAGTCAAATGGTTCAACCAACAGAAACCCGTCCTATTTTCAACCACATTGTCTTTTCATAACACAGCTTTGTTACTGAGAATAGCAAATGTTTTGAAGACATAAAGATTTTCGAAGGCAGGATGAGCATGCAATTATTTGGTTTCAATTAAGTCTCTGAAATTTTTCGTAGAAGACTGACAGCATTGAGGCACATAAATAAGGATTAACTATCGTTCATAAATACTTTCTTTGATCAAGTCAAGTTTTATCTCTCTGATTATGTGTCATTTATTTTATTAGAAATATATGTCTACCACTTGTTCAACGGAAGATGATAACTCGGAATGTGAATCTACTGTCTCTACAGTGAATCATATTAGAATGGGTGAAGAATCACTGTTTCCAAATGATGAATTCATGCCTAAGGTACAAGCGCCAAATTTGGATAATTCATACAACAATATGAAACGTCCAGGATTAACACCATCAATGACTGCTTACAGGTGGATAGTATCACAACCGACTTTATCTAAAGACATATTCAGTCAAATTAAAGACAAAACTACTACACAATGGTTAAGTGTTAACACAACAGATGATTGGTTAATGCACATTCCAAAGTGCTCAATGACTGCTGATAAAGTATCTTTGGAAAATTGGCAGGATTATTGTTTACATAAACCGTATTCATCGAATGAAGATCAATTTACGACATCGTATTCAATCAATTATCAACTTAAACATTTAGATGAACCAACTAAATTGAGACCAACGTCTGCCAATCGGCGGCATAAACCACAATCATCAAGGTAAAAGAGTACTTAAAAACATATTTTAAAGTAATTATTCTTTTATTTCTGTGCAATTCACATTCACTTAATTATTTGAATGATTGATTCGCCTATTTTGTTATTGTTATGAGCATTTCAAAATTGTTGCTAATTTCAAAATTCAGTCGTATTTTCAGTATTAGTTCAATAGAAATATCTACCGTATGGATATCTCATTTAAGAGCCCGGAGTTTTTGTGTACTAGGTTATTAGCTACACTGATTATCTGGGTATGGGTCATAAATTACATTTTTCAGGATGAGATAGATAAGATGGGATCACAACTTGAGGTCCACTGACTAAAAGTTAAATTCCATAACCAGTGAGTGGTTATCATTCTTACTCCTGTCAATTCCTTCCGTAATAATATATATATATATGCGTCGGTGGTACAGCGGTTAGGACTCTCGCCGACCATGCACATGGTCCGAGGTTCGATCCCGCGCCGACGCACACCTGATATCTGTGGTCGGCCTGCTAAATTTAGGCTACCGATATCACACGCTGAAAATTTCATACTTGTGCCAAAATACTGTGTGGAATCAAGTTATAATAAAATAAAAAAATAAAAAATATGTATATATTGATTACAGCTTGGACCTGGACCATGTGCATGGTCGGCGAGAGACATAACCACTGTGCCCCCGACGCACACTATGTGTTTGCAATTTTTCTGGAGATGTTCTTGTAGACTTTTATCTTGCATAAAGAAACCTAGATATTATCATTCCTATAGTCAGGGATTTCAAAGATGTATTAGTACCACTCCTCATTCATCTTGTCATATTCCCTTACTTCAAATAAATATATGATCAACTTCATTGTTTCTTCATAAAACTCTGCTTTTCAGTAGCTATAACCATTAAGGTAGGTCAATTCATTCAGTATTCAAATAAATTCTTAAATATCACCTTAAACAAAAGTTCTTTAATATCAAAATCTCCTAAATCTGAGTAAATCATGGGATTGAATTGTGAAACAGTGAATCACCGGTAATCCAACGATGAAACTTCTGACAGACATCTGAGAAAAAGTGTATTTTATCAAATGAAAGGGAATTAGTCTGTTTAAGATGGTTTTGACCTTAAAATTCTAGTAGAAATCACCTAGGAATTCTCTAGTTGACTGAATGACAGAAAATTTACATACTAATACTTAAAAATATGTGTCTGATAGTGGCTGATCAAATGAACACTTTCACTAACCAGTACAATATTCTTACTCTCTCACTAATTTAATTGCCCCCACTGTGTATGCAGCTGCAGCAAACTGAAAAATAACAGGTTATTTGCAACCAATAATCGCTCAATTGAAATACTGGAAGATTTTTAAGCCGTTGAAATTTAGCGCATTACGAGACAGACGTCCTAAAATATCGTGAATGAGCATTGCTGGAAAATCCCCATATGGGATGAAGCTGAAGAATCTCTATTACGAGGTATCCCTAGCTGAAAGTGGTTGGTAGAGAATATTTATACATCAGCGCAGTAAATAAATGGATCAGTAGCAAACGTTTTCATCACCAATACTACAACTAGTTTCACTGACAGTTAGGGCTTAGAATTGTCAAGTGACACGTAACCATGAATGACTGAAAATTTAATTCTTAAGCTTGGCACTTGACAGCAATAGTCTGCAAGAATTTAAAAATCCTGCAACGGGTTAGATCAGGTCATCATACATATATATATATGGCTGTTTCGTCCTAGTTCATGACTCTACAGTAGTACCCATCTGTAAGTCCACTGAGGACGGAACACAGAACCCTCGGGTTACATATTTGTTATTACAACATTGAGTAAGGGGTGATACATATATTTATATATAACTTCTTCCTCGACATGTTAAATAAATAAAATAAAGGTCAATTAAGTGAAACATGCTTTTAACCAAACCATATGTAGTCTAACACAGAATTGCGTTTCATTTTTAAGTGAAGTACAGATAATTTTCAGTCCCGTTAAGACAAAGTTGATCACATGAGAAGTAATTCGATACATGGGTTAATTTGAACAACTGGAAGCCAACTGTAGCAACACCAGTTAAAGGAACCTAAAAATCACAAAAAAGACAGTGGTTTTCCCTTATGCCCTTAAAACTTCTCAGGAATAACACTTTTTTCAATCTACACAGGACTCAATCATTTCGAACTATTGTAGGGGACTTAACAGTGAGCTCTGTAATGATACATAATATTGGAATAGAAATCCTAGTTAATGAAAGAATATTGTAACAGTATATTATAAAAAAGATAGTTAGCGAGTTATAAAAATTAATGGTTACTTGGTGATACAGTTAAACTCCGCTGCTACAAACTATTAATGTAATCCACAGAAGTTTCCAATGCTGAGTCGTGCCTACTAATAGAAGCTGTGCACCGGTTGTAGAATAGACTTCGGATGAGAGGTTCCTGCAAAATTCCAAAGGATACAGCACAGTTAGTAGTGAAGCAAGTAGACAGTATGGATGAGTGAGAAGACGAAGAGAATAGCAGCACACTCTATTTCAGATTGTACTCCAAAGTTATATATGTTTTACAATGAGTCGTTTCGAACAAAAGTTATGTACAATGATTCCATTTTTGATATCCAACAAAAGACTGTACAATCATATTGTTCCATAGTCCACACTATTGGACACTTTATAAATGAGATTTCGACTATCTATTAATACGGTCAGTTAAGTCCACAGTGAAAATAAACACTGAATAAAGACTTGATTAGTTATATTTCTGTGAAATTTATTCTACTTTCTAACAAATCTAAATGTCTTAGTTACAGAGAAGAACTCATGTCAACGTTTAGTCGATAAAATACTCTTTAGTAAATTAAGCCTAAATAATCCCCATCTAGACATGAATAAAAAACAAAACACGTGGGTCAGTGAAGAGGCTCTTTCCAACAAATTCATTTTCTTTTGCTGTACAGCCACATTTATATACAACTTTTCATCAAAGAGGGTAGTAACAGAAGTGATGAGTTGTCACAATCATAGTTTCTAATATTAGATGAATAAGTGCATTAGATTTGCATAATAGGATGAATAACTTATTGAATGAGTTTTAATCAGAATGCATATGTTAAGCCTCTTTTTTAGAACAAGCAATTTTTTCTTTTCTCTGAACTTTTGGTTCAGCGTTCTTGTGAATGAACCTAGATGGGTATCCATTTTGGGAGATTTCTTTTATAAAATCTTGTTCTACTTCTAGGGCATTCGGACTGTCCAGCTGTCAGATGAGAATGACAAGGAGTTTAATTAAATGTAGTTTTCATTCAACAGGCACACAAATGTTACAAATCTTTAACTGATCGTTCCAAGTGATTTTCTTATGGACTGACCTTCCCAAGGTTCCATCAAATCTTCTTGTTAGTTCAACAACCCGCGTCAACGCCGGTTATTCTACCTCAGCAGACGCCTACTTCAAAGTAACTACAGAGTGAAAAACAACCTGCTAAAGGCAGTGCCTTTTTGTCTTCTTTGCATTGCTGAGGCTCTAGCCATTCAGATACAGAAACCGGAGCTGTGCAAACAAAGGAAAAAATTATTCAATCACTCCTATTACTATGGTAATAACCTTATCGATTTCTACTAACTTGATTTTTCAAAGGACTTATTACTGAACAAAGAATAATCTTTTTGTTTACTTCATCAGGTTCTGCAGTCATATATCCATAATAATGAAAGAATTATGGTTATTAACAATGTTAATGTTTAAATAACATCGAATCAATAATATCAATAGATTACAGTTCAATAGCATATGTAAGTGTGATAATATGCATCAACATAACACTACCCTGAATCTCAGGTAAATTAGGAAGAACAATAATATAGCATTCATGAAGTTAAAGTCGTAGTGGCTGGACCTATTACTTCTGCACACAGAGCACCAGTTGTTTTAGGCGAATCGCAATGGCCTCTGCTGTTTCAAGTATTCGGTACCTGAATGCTTTTGTCAGTTTATTTGGTATCCGATAAGTGGTAGAGAAGGATTATTCAATGCTGACTTTGTATCCGGTTTGAACCAGGTGGTCTAATATCTATCTTTTGGTGTTTTTCACTACACCCTAGTTCTTTCATTATTTTGGATATATAACTGTAGAACCTGATGATGAAGTTATCGAAAAGAATATACTTTGTTCACCGATCAGTCTTTTGAAATTTCTAATGGGCATTTTTGATGAACTTGATTTTTGTCAGTTTGTTTTTCTTACTCCTTATAACCATTGTATTTCGTTAGAATTCCTACGTGATTGCATATTTTCCTTCGTTTCTGTGTGCATCCTGATTACAGCTCATTCATTAAGTTATTCATCTTATTATGCAACTCTAATACACTTATTCATCTAATATTAGAAACTATGATTGTGACAACTCATCACTTCTGTTACTACCCTCTTTGATGAAAAGTTGTATATGAATGTGGCTGTACAGCAAAAGAAAATGAATTTGTTGAAAAGAGCCTCTTCACTGAACTAAGTGGTTTGGTTTCATCAAATAAACATAAACCTCATTTAGTATAGAATACAGTTAAACTTATGCTTTCTTCTTTCAACGTCATACTAATTTCAACACCAGAATAAATTTACAATAATATTTGACAGTACTCACCCACTGGGATTCGAACCGAGGACCTTCTGGTTACAAGGGTAGCGGGCTCGTAGACAATTAAGCCACTGGGACCCTCTGTGTCGAGTTGGCAGAAGTTAGAATTTATGGGTGAATAGATAAGGTCCCAGTGGCTAAATAGTCTATGAACTAGCTCGCCTTGTAACCAGGTGTTGGGTTTGAACTCTGACACGGGGTGCGTACTGCTGAAGAATTCGGAGCGCTAGGACGAAACAGCTGTCGAGAACTCCCTGGTGGTTTTTCAGTGATTCTCTAAATGATGTCAGCACATGATGAAATCATTCAACCAATCAAACAAAATCAATACTGGAAAATATTTGGCCTCTAGTAACTAAAGCTAATAATACTCATTCACGTTACTTAGCTGAATTAAGCCCAATTTCTTCCTTCCTTGGTGTTATAATTCCTTTGATCAGTCAATTGCCAATCAGTCTAGCAATTAATTACTCAAAATGTGCCATTTTAGCGCATTAAACTTTTAAAGTATAAATATATTAGCCCTCCTTCATCAGACAAAAGAGAATGAGAAATTAGTTTCCTTATGGTTAGTTGTGAAATAATATTATGTTGATTTAATAAATTATACAAATTATTGAAACTAATATTCGTTAATTGTGTTGTAAGTGCTGAAATCAAAAAATGTGATTTAGTTTAATGGTTTAGTTGTTCTTCCGCTGGAGCTCGAACGCAGCACTTTAAACACTACCGAGTAAGTAGGTTAAGGTATATTACTTCTTTTGTATTTATTCAATCTCATAAAACTGCACAGTCCAAGATGAAATCTACAACAGTGTCATTTGGAAATCCAAAATATCCAGAACACAGTAAGTAATCTTCTTAACACCATAAATAGAACCAAGAAAAATAATCAGAATTACAAAAAGATGTACACTGTTTATCAGTATGGATATTCGGAAATCACTTGCATCAAACCATTAGTGCTTACTAGCTGAGATCCCAGTGGTTACCTATTTCCTCTTATAGAATTGATCGATTGGAGTACAAATTGCTAGAGATAAAAGCAACCATCACTAAAAGTTTAATCTGTGTGCATCAGGCTGAATTTTTAAGGGAATAATAAAAATTACAAAACATTATGCATTTGTTTGTGTATACGAACCTTCAGCAACACTGATTGTGTTTTTTTTCTGTACTTAGCCTTTTTCTTAATTGCCACTTGCACAAACTACCGAAATACGAAGCAAAGTGAATGTGAAAGAAGCTTATCTACTATTCAGTCAAGTGGGTTTGCTATTGTAATACGATAAATGTTATCTTCTAAGTGTTATTAATGATTATCGATAGCATTTTATTTACTGGCATCAAAGTTCAATACACTAAACTTAACTTTTAAAAGTCATTATGCAATAACAGCCTAAAATTAAAGTTTAGGTAATTAATAGTAAGGAAAACAGCATCATTTAATTCATATGATTGGAAAGCGTTGGTACATCATGTGAATAGGGAATAAATATACAGGGATTTTAATACAATCTTTTATTATACTTCTAGAATGCATGTGTATACCCAAAAATTCTTTAACTAATCGGCCGTATATATTTGGATGTTTATACTTAAGTCATAAGATGGCAAAGTTATACTTTAAGCACCACCAATCAGCAAATGGCCTTGAACGCACCAGTCACATGAAGGAGGCATTTTTGGGTATAGAATACATATATTTACGAAGAAAATGCATCAAAGTTTTTCATAGGATACCTTTCTCTGACATGTGATAAAAACATCTCCCGTCTGAACATAGGACTGTCAACTGGAAGTTACAGCATATTCTATACATATATTCATCTAAATGGCTTTAAATGATATCCTTTTGAGCTCCATTAATGTCCCTAATCCTGTTTTTAACTTTCCCCAAAAGCCCTCTATAGAACTGACGTGTATCCCTGTAATGAGACCCACAAAATCATTAGAATGGTTCACTCTGTGGTGAATATATCCAAGGGATGACAGGTAGTTATAACCTTTCCACTCCTCCTAATAACGAAGTAATTCTCTCCAGTTTCCATGACGCGATATCGCTGCAGTGCTGGTACCACTGAACTATTGATAGGAGACTTTTTTCGCTGTTTTAGCAGCTACACCTATCACACGTTGTCTTAATACCCAGATTTACAAAATCTGGGTTAAGGACAAGTGGGACCTGGCAAAAAATGTTCCTACGAAATATTAGAATCATCAGCTTACCTTCCCTGACATTTAACTCGAATCAAGTGGAACAGAACCTTATACTCACGTGGATGAAACTCATTGGGCCATTCAAGGTCATTCGCTAATTGGTAGTTAGTGGTACTTAAAGTTTAACTTGGCCCATTAGATTAATATTTAGAAGATTAGACATAAGGTCTTCTAGAAAGGTGGTCAATCAAATCTGTGGAGTTACGAAATAAACGCAATGCGTATAACTAACTGGAGTACAATTAGCATAACAGAAAACTGCAGATGACCAAGTCGATTTGTTTCAGCCATGTATTAATTCTGCACTCATTTTTCAAGCATTTTAAGAATGGAAGAAAGATCGGATGACTGCATTCATATAATTTAAGAAACCAGTAATTGACGTATAAAGGCCATAATCAACTGATTAGCCTAATGTAAGTAAGCTGGGTGAAATCTACCAATCAGAATTGCCTGAGTTACCTACACTAGATTACCAACTTGGCACCTACTTGCATGTGGACAATTTACACATTTTCTGATGAATAAATTTCAGTTGACTGACATCAGGGTCAGTCAGCTAATTAATGCTCTTATACACTGCTGAATGAAACCCGAAATGACATGGATTAAAACTGACTAATATTCTGGAGCCGTACTTTTGTCTTTGCTTAAAAATCTTGAAATCTTACTACACTATAACTGTTATTTGCTTACAGAAGTATCTCTTTTTAGAACGCTACGTAGTGTAACTACTAGAATCACTGCTATGACAACAGTAAGCAAATGACACCAAAGTCAAGTGACCTAGAACAAGCAAATCGGATCACTCAGCATTAGAAATGGAGGCTTTTCATAATCATCGCTGCAAGTTTCATCCCAGCCCTAATTATAACCTTACCTTAGTCCTACCATCACCTAACCCTCAATAAACATCAAACTTGCAAACAAGATTATTTTGATGTGGTTGTGTTCTCTGAGCTGGATGGTGGTTTATTTGCGAAGGTTTCATTCCCCTACTAGGCAACATCTTCAGCGTATACTTCAATTCGAAGTGAGCTTTTAGATTTCTTCACGAGTTTATTAGTCATCCCTCCTGGTGACCTTGAACGTGATTGGTTGTTTTTGTGTGTTTTGTATTGGAACTGATTGTTTCCTTGACTTGAACTTTGACCCTTTGTGTGTGAGACTTCCTTCTTATCGATTGGTAAATTTTGTCTATGTCGATGTGTCTATTGATTGACAATTTACTGGAATACCAGGCTTCTAAACATTCTCTAGCATTCTTGGTGTTTCCTCTGTCTAATATTTGAACGTTGTCCCAGTCGAATTGATGTCCGTGGTTATCTGTATGCAGTGATATGAGGGAGTGGATGTCATGTCTTTTGATGGCTAGCTTATGACCATGGATACGAAGACGAAGGGGACGTTCACTTTCGCCAGTGTAGTGTTTTCCGCAGTTGTTACAATTTATTTTGTAGATGATGTTGGTTTTATCTTCTTTCGTTGTTGACTCTTTTAAATGACATAGAGTTGAGTGAAGTAATTTTGTTGGTTCGTGCGCGATGGGATATTTGGTTGGTGTATTTTGGGTCTGCCGTAGAAAGCTTCGCAAATAAACTATCTATCTCAGAGAACACAACTACATCAAAATCATCCACCTGAGCTACGAATCTTCTCCATCGTATCTAAATCTTACGGGCGGAACGCGCCTCTTTCTGTTCGAAAGTGGGAAGACTTCGCCAGAAAGCAAGGATCCACTGCATACAGATAACCACGGACATCAATTCGACTGGGACAACGTTCAAATATTAGACAGAGGAAACACCAAGAATGCTAGAGAATGTTTAGAAGCCTGGTATTCCAGTAAATTTTCAATCAATAGACACATCGACATAGACAAAATTTACCAATCGATAAGAAGGAAGTCTCACACACAAAGGGTCAAAGTTCAAGTCAAGGAAACAATCAGTTCCAATACAAAACACACAAAAACAACCAATCACGTTCAAGGTCACCAGGAGGGATGACTAATAAACTCGTGAAGAAATCTAAAAGCTCACTTCGAATTGAAGTATACGCTGAAGATGTTGCCTAGTAGGGGAATGAAACCTTCGCAAATAAACCACCATCCAGCTCAGAGAACACAACCACATCAAAATCATCCACCTAAGCTACAAATCTTCTCCATCATATCTAACGAAATTATAAATATCATGCATTTGTAAGTTCTAGGAATCTGATTGGTTGATTCAAAGCTGTTTGACTATGATGTCTATTCTTTATTGTTGCCCTTATTCTTAATTATCTTATTACATGATAATTTTCTACTGAATTTTAACTTTTGTCATATAAATTTAGTTGGCAAGTAAATGTGTGATCAGACTGTTCGAAGTGTATTGCACAGATCTATAATACTTTTGAGATAAACTCCATGTTTTAACAACGTTATTCGATTTCAGTAAAGGTACTAATTGTTTTAGATAACAATAGTACTGCTACTACTATTAATAACCGTCAGTTTTGCACTAGAAAGTACATTTACTAATGTCGCGTTTGCGGGAGTTTCCTTGATTTTAAGGATCGATTGGTCAACAGCTCACATCACATAGAGAACCATCGGAAACAATGAAGCACTGATCCGGTTTGTCGTCCTAGTATATGACTCTTTAGTTGTACATACTCCTGACCTCACCAGGGATCAAAACCAAGAACTTAATTTTAAGAGATGAATGTTCCACTGTAATGGCTGAAGAAAAGACAGTTGGTAACGGCCTCTTTTATTGAGGAAAAGCACAACATGTTTATAATTTCTAACCACATTGAAAGTCGGCTAGGTCAGTGGACAATAGACTGTTCTGATTGGTTAGCGACTGGCCCAAGGTTAAACAGTGGGACGAAACGTGATGTAGTGAAATTATTTCATGTCCATAACGTAAACTACATCCAGATTTGAGAGATAAACACACAGCCATTGACTTAAAATGTTGATTTCAGTTTAGGCCGCTTCCTACCAATCTACATCTTGAAACTACTGATAAATGTTGTAATTATCACACGCCACGCTACTTCTTGTCGTTATGTAAAAGTATCATACTGTGTGCTTAGAAATAAATGCACTGAACTTTCAGAATAAAGCATCATTTCAACTCTATATGACTTTAAGTATTTGTTTAAATGACATCACTTATCACTTAGGTCTTTTTCAGTGTCGTAATTATGCATAACAATTTTATAAATCTATTGTTTCAGGTTAACTCAGCATCACCAATCACTCAAGTGGATAAAAGAAGTCATATGGACTTACTTGAGATTTTTTCATGAAATTTTCAATTATTTATATTACAAACTTATTTGTGAAAAAATTCTGTATCTTATTTTGATTTATCTACATTACTTAATCAGCTGATACAATTTATATCTCACTTTTATTATACAAAAATACATATTTTTCTAAAGAAAATGAAGTTTATTACGATGTTCAGTTTGTGGAATCCATGTAACCTTGTCCCAGACGATGTAATATGTGATCGACTTAAGGCAGTAATTATTCTGAGAATACTTGTTTTCAAGGGGAAACATCCCTAAGAAGTTACTTGCTGCTTGTGACCTAGGCGCCAGAAAGCAACGTCACTTCCTCCGATTTATGAAAACAACTCAGTGGGACATATAATCTCAAAGAAGCTGTCCTTAAGTAAATGTGGCTACAAAGACTACTCTATAGTGTCCTACAGATTATAGGCATTGCATCTAGTAAATCAGTTAACCTGGAGAATTTAGATGACATGACTGATAAAATGATGAAGGTCTATCCAGGTACCTCAGTGTGCATTGTATCTGATCAACGTCAACCACCTTTTCCCACTATTTCTACATCTGAGAAAGCCAATATCGTCCGACTTACATTCAACTATTTCATGGTTAACAGCACAAATAACAGAACTAAAAGTCACAGTTTTAAACGTATAGTCATATCGTAGTTGGTTCCACTCACGATTTTAGACAAGGGATAAATACCGTGTTCTGATAGGAAGGAATGTTATTTTTGACTTTTTTAAAAAAAACTATACAAAATCATATTTCTGTTCTCCACAACAAACTTCTCAGTTTGTAAGTTAACTTCAAGCGTAGCTTTATGGTTTCACTAACCCCAGGTTTCTTTAGCATCGATGGATAGACAATGAAGTACAAACACAGGAAATCGAACTAAGATAGATTAATTTATTTTGCCAGACATTACAGTAAGGTGAACAGAATGAAAGGATAATATGAACGAAAAGAAAAGTGAAGTGATAATGTACTTTAGATTAAAGGAAAGTCAGCATATACCCTTGTGTCAGTGCTGTCAGTTTCAAATATCAACGAAGTTCTCTACCCTTTGGTTTTTATTATTCCCCGTAGATAATTTCACTAAATTTCTGATGCATCAATTAATATATCCTAGTCATTTTATCATAGATTAGAAAAAAAATATCTGTTTCACAGTTGTACGACATAACTTATGAATGTATATGAGGAACATTTTGTACCCCAAATATTGAACTGATAACTTAGAATTTATATTTAGGAAATTTATGTAGGGGGAATAAATCAGTCACTTGTCTTGTAAACATGAATCAGTCGACATAACTGTTACTTCATGATGGTATCTATTAGACATTTAACTATAAGGGAACTTTTTAAGGCTGAATGTCCAGTAGGTATAATTCTATTAGCGGAAAGTACCCGTGTGATAATAGTTACCGGAAGGAATTTACCAATAAGTACGGAAAACCTAATACAAGATTGAAGTGCATTACAAAATATACACCTGTATGTTTACAACTTACTTTCAAAATGGACATTTTTAATAGAAACAAAATCACACAGATTAAGAATGTATCAGCCTGACAAACTTATCAGGTAATGTCAAATTAATTCTTCGCTAATTAGAACTTAGTCAGGTCAAATAAATTTTGCAGGTACCAGACTTTAAGCCACACCCATTATGGGAGGACTGGTAATACCAATTACAAGCCGAGGATACTGTTGGTGGGACACCAGTCAAACCAAGGAACACATAGTTAAAAGTTGCATTTCCACACTTATTTGTTGTAACAATCGAAAGTTGATAACTTACCATTTCATATTGCCTAAAGCTGTATGTACTAATCTAAAGTGAAAGGATAGACGAAGACACCTTTCTCTTCATCCATGAGCATATTTCAAAAGAGTTAAGACTCGTAGTCCACACCCACTTTAGTACAATCGAATATCAACTGATAAGTACTAGTCACTATGTGCACCATTTAAGTAATCAACAAGTGGACCTTAGCTGGATGCGTACAACTGAAACAATTTGCGTCAAAAGGCTGAAATCAAATCAACGTATTCAAGACAATACAATTTTCAACTTAACACTGTTTTGGTTGCATCGCCTGTTCTGCTTCATAACTATTTTACTCCATCTGAACTTCATTCACCTTAATCTTCACGCTAACATCAATCCTTTAAGCGGTATTTTTCAGCTGTGTTTTTATTAACACCTTGTTTCTAATAAATGGTTCCTATATTCCTCTTAAATGTTTGTCTAGGGCATCCTTTAAATTACCATAAGTGATGAGATTTTCTATCACATTCTCTATGCTGACCGTTCACACGATTCCAGCAATAACTTTTTATTGAATTAACAAAGCTTTGTTCAATTTTTGTAATGTAAACATTTTGACATTTAAACTGCAAGCAGTTGAGAAGAAACCGACACTTGTTCTTCCGTGCTTAATTGTACCAGTTCAGTCTACTTATAGTATCTGCTCTTTATTGCTGCGTGAAAATAAAACATGTGCAATAAATTTGTTATGACAAAAAAGTCTTAACACTTGTGAAACATCTAGGAGTCGAAATACTGTTGTATTGCACATTCTCATATAAATAAACCGACTAAAAAATACTTCAGTTGTCGTAGAATGTGCTTTGACAGATAATTAAAACTGAGCATCAGGTATTTAATTGGTGAACGGTGACTAGCAGTGGAATCCGGGATGCGCATTCCGTCCTACCTGGGACTCGTCATCTGGATGTACCTGCATTTCCCAGTGAGTGATGATGTTCCCAGGTAGTTGATCAATACTGAAAACATTTTCGCAATTCTAAGTTTCAGAAAGCTGATTTCCCTTGGAAAGCATATATTTTCTGGGAAAAAGCACCTGAAAATAGGATGCAACATTTCGGAATGTTCACAACTATTCTAACTCAATAATGTTAATTAATGACTTGTACCGTATGATACAAATTTTCCTTTAAACATTCTTATTCCTTCTAAATTACGGATTTTTATGTCCCAACAATAAGGGAATGTAAAAGTATAATCCTTTCGTTCTACCGGGCGGCTCTGATTACCAGATGGATCGATATGCTAAACCTATAGGCCATGTACGCATCTAGTTGATAATTAAAGTAGCATGAATATTTATTTGTACCATTTGGTAGTAATTACAATCATTGGAGAATCGGTTACTAACTAAACTAACACAATCCAATTTTGTGAGATTCCGTAATAATACTGCTAACGTATAAATTATTCGCATAGGCGACAGTCTATCGCACTAACAGCGTCCAAAAGTTATGCTCACTTCTCCAAGAATATCAGTGGATGTAAACACAATTTATCTTACCGAAAAATGTCTTCTTGGGACGCCCCCAGAACGATAATTTTCTTTTCAATCTCATTTTAATGCACTTTCACTGTGAAGATGTGACTTATTGGCTCAAGCACTCAGTTTTCAGCCAATGGGTCACAGATTCGAGCCTCACTACACCTATTTTAGACAGGGCCACTGAATAGTATCATCAGCCAGCAAACGATAAGTGTAACTCTTAGCCTGATACATGAAAAATCTGTCCCACGTAATTCAGTTTAGACAAACAACGCACTCACGTTACAGAATAGACGACACATTTGTTGAGTGACGAATTAGACAACATATACACATACACTTTAAACAGTATCACTTTAAGGCTTTTGTACATCTTAAATTACTGTATCACACACACATAAAATACACAAAATTTAAGTTATATAACTAAGTTATTTCAAAGCAATTAAATCATTGCTGTACAATATTTTTTTATTCAATCACAGTATAGACAAAACTAAGGTGATCGTGAGTGATCTGTAAATTTACACTAAAAATATCTTATGAAAGGGTTTTTTTCAAAATAATTTCAAGTTCCAGTGTGATTGTCTCTACTGTTTGACTTTTGCCGCCGTTCAGATTGTTCAAACTGTATTTCTTCATCAATACGTTCCTTTGCTCGAAACACCTGAACAAAGGGGAAAGTTAATTGGAAGACATATCAACATATAAGGCAATTTAGGTACTCAATGTGATAACAGCTAATTAATTACTATGAGATACTAAATCACACAAAGTACATAAAAGAAAAGCACAAATGTTTGTCAAGTAGTTCCAAGGAGTATATTAAAGACACGTGTTTAATATAATACTTCTCCAGCAATCATTAGAAACAATGATACACTAAACAACCGAACAGATATAGATAATATAAGATGTGAAATGATTACCAGCTAAATTGCTGAAACGTATCATCACACATAAATAAGGAAAGATAAATAGTCAGGATGACAGTTTCAAAAACAACATGAGACTGTCACATCAATAAACTAAAGATACTACAAACCGGTTACAAATTAAAGCATACGGGTGCACCCGTATCCCTGTGGCGGCTTCTTCAGACATATAATTTGGTCTCTTAAAATGGATTTTTCATCTCACAGAGGCTAACCAGTACACTTACATTCCTCTATACAGCTAAATACAACTGTCAGGAAATGAACGATGCCAGTGCAGGTTTTCATTTTGTCTACTGAACAGTGCCATACCTCCTCACATAACAAGTAACAAGCATGGCCTACTACATGAACGGTCTGTTCCAATTCACTGAGTTCTAACGTATTTATGCAGATATTCAAGTGAGACAGATGATAGAATTGATCACAGAGTCAGCGAAGAGAACAATATATGTCACCAATCCGGAGCAACCACATACTCCAAAAGGAAAAAACATAGATCACACAGGATGAATAATAGTCCTAAAGCAGTCAAATAAAGTTCCATATTCAGTATGAAACTCAGGGAAAAGTGTCAGAACTGGACACTTCAAAAGAATCATTATGCAAGAAATTAACCGTTGTTATCTTATGGTTTCTGAAGGTTATTTTCACAATGTAATTTATTGTCCCTATAAAAGTCATACTCAGCAATCAATTATGATATCTGATAGGAGGTGCCTAGCGAAATCATCCAGCATAAACTCCACAAACCAGACAGACTTCATCTCACCGCTGCTCAAGGAAGTGGAGACGCACCCAGTCTGTTGGACACAAAGTCGTGAGGGGAAGCAGGTGTGCGCTTAGGCCGTCAAAGAATCCTCAAGGTGAAGCTGAAATCCTTCAGAACAACTGCAGACAGGCCACTGAAAGACAAAACTACAAGGGATGCCTTTACTACAGATCAGAACAAAGTTGGAGACACTATGTGGCATCACTGAGGAGACCTGCGTGGAAGAACACTGGAACTTACTCTCTGAAGGTGATTTTCAAGGAAACTTGCACAACTGTATTAGGAAGAAAGAAGAGACATGGCAGGGAATTGCTCTCAACGGACATCTACCTGGAAGCTAATAGAGGAGAGGAGGATGGTGAGAGAGAAAATGACTCAATGAGAAGATGGAGAACAAAAGGAGAAGCTGAGTTCAATGTGCACTGCACTGAACAAAGAATAAAAGAAGAGTGCTAGAGGAGACAAAAGACAATTCTACGAAACACTGGCAACTGGAGCAGAACAAGCAGTCCTCAGAACATTATATCAGATAACCAGGTCTCTATCGGGGAAGAGATTAACCCAGATGATGAAACCAACAGAAGATATTCAAGAGAACCTGATTAACAAGGAGGAAAAACAAATAAAAAGATCACGTCAAAGGTCTCTTGAATCGACCATCACCTGCAACTCGCCCAGAAATACCACCACCGACAGTACGCACAGAGCTGCCTGCCAATAGACACCAATCCTCCAAAGAAAGCAGAAGTCGTGAATGCAGTCAAGCTACTGAAGTCCAGTCAGAATTGCTCCCGAAGCAGTCAAAACGGATCTAGAGATTGCGGCAGATGTGCTCACGCCATTATTGTAAAAGGTTTGGAAGGAAGGAAAGGTGCCTGCCGATTAGAAGAAAGCCTGATCACCTTGTCAAGCTACAAAAGAAGGGCGACTGCCGTGGAATAATGCTTTTACCCACACCAAGCAAAATACTAGTTCGCGACATCCTAGAGAGAATAAAAAATGCGCTAGATGCATAACTCCGCCACCTACCGGAACAAGCTAGATTCAGGAAAGATCAAATTGCAACTCTATACATTATCGTCATCGAACAAAGCATAGAGTGGCGGTCAAAACTCTACCTCAACTTCATCGACTTCGAAATGGCAAGATACGCCTTCATCGACCTTCATCACTTGTCTAGACAGTAAACATTGTTCAACCACAGGTAGCCGGAACGGATGGAAACGTCAAAGCTGGCCAGAATCGGAGAGGCAAGATACGCCTCCATCAACCTGAAAGCAATTTGGAAATCTGCTTCATTCAGCCAGCATAAAGAACAAGATTCGGATTTTCAAAACAAATGTGAGGTCAGTTTTTCTATACGGATCAGAAACTTGCACTGCGTGTTACGAAAAGGATTTACAACAAGTTACAGACCTTTACAAACAGCTGCCTTTGCCGGCTCCATACCAGAGATCAAATGGCAGACCGGAAAGAACTAGCAACAAGAAACTTCAGCAACAAACCAACCAAGAACCTATCGTTCAACAAATATGTAGGAGAAAATGGAGATGGATCGGGCATACGTTGATGAGGTCATCAATTGGCATAGTGTGCCAGGCCATCTCTCCAGTGGAATCCGAATGGGAAGCGACCAGTGGGTCGTCAGTGCGGGGGTGACATGGAAAAGATAGTGTGGAGATGAGACGAGAGATTATGGGCAATCATGGACCCAGCTGAAGAGCACAGCATCAAATAGAACGATGTGGAGATGTGTTGTTGTTCAACTCGGAACCCAAGGGAGTAATAATAATAACAAATAAATAATAACATTTTGTGGATAAATTGACAAACAATACGAAAGTTACAAGCGAAAAATGGATGTGACGTGCAACTCTAAGTATGCTTTACTAACCTTTGATTGTAGGTAAAGTGTACCACCGTTTTCTTTGGCATTCGAAGAAAAAAGATGCTCATAATGTTTATTCAGAGTATCCTTATCATGAATATCTTTTATGTTGAGTATTTGTTTGGCCTCTTCTAACGACATGCCAGCGTTCTGGACGTAGGTATTTGAGTTATCTGTAGATGTATTTGAACGACGGGCACTAGCCGCCCTTTGACTCGACGCATATTCCTCTTTAACAGCTTGGGCGAATGCACGGCCTAAGACTCTAGCACCAGACACAATGAGTTGGACCAAATACTTCGACTACATGCACATGAAACAAAATGATACAATCTACCAATCAAATTACAAAATTACGACACAATATTAACCTAGGTGGAGTGATGTCAGTATTCATTGCAAAGAACTACACAAACTCTAGGGATCAACAATTGATGTTATCATACTTAAAATCAAGTAACTCTGCTGTCATTCCATGAATGCCTGACTGATAACTTCTTCAAAACACAAGTTAAATGAGTTTACTGACCAAATTTCAACACATAACTTTGCACAGAAATACAGCAGTGCAAGTAGCTACCCTCTATGTAGTACACTGTTAGAGAAAAAGAAATTCAAGAGGACTTTAGTGAACGGAAATGTTCAGGAGAAACAGTAAATTGGGAAAAATTGAGGGTTTAATAGACCTGGGAGATAACAAACAATAAGTGAATATGCACCACTGAGGATAACTTTGAGTCATATCTCCATTAGTCTCCAGTCAGTGATTCTTAGGATCCTGGAAGCACAATCCAGACTTCGTGTACGGCTGAAACCCAACGTCAGAAACTTCATGAACTGATGCTAGTTTTGGTTTGACTACCTGTAACTCCTCTTCAACTTAATCTTGTGTCGATTTACACTGCTAACTTGGTATGCATAACACGTCTTCTAGCCATATCTATCGATTTACAGACACGACCTTGTCGACTGACTTTCCTTCCTAAACTAACACCATGGTTGACCTCAATATTATAATATGCCACTTGACAAACAGGATAGAACGCAAGTATCGGTGGTCAACGACAGCTAGCTTTACCATACCTTTCACTTTCAATGGCCAGGTTTTACAACCAAAACAGCTGACACAGCGAACTTCTGCGTCAGAGATAACTACATAGGTTCAACTCAGGCAAAGGACAATGCTTTTACCAATTCGGCACTCAGATGTCACATGCCGTCACACCGATGTTTCTACGTGATGCTCTTCAACAACAAGCGATTGCCTCTTGTTATTTAGGAGGTATGCAGCTTAGCACACAAAATATCTATGAACTCCAATTTAAGTGAACTTAATACAACCTACTGGAATGAATTCAACTCAAAATTTGATCGTCTTATTTTCAAGTTCTAATTGTGCTTTCATGGCGTGAAAACAGCCCCTAAATCCAACGCAGGAAACGTGTATAGTAATGTAGAGGGTTTTAGTTCGAATAACATGGTTGCTGAAATCCTAGGTTCAGTAATCATCGGTAAACTAAGACACATTCAGCAGAAAGAAATCTGTGAAAACTGGACAGGCTTTAGGCCAGCACATGAGTAAAATGGTTGTGCCTTCAGTCTCCGACATATTCTGGGATATACATATACTTTCCAGCCACACTCTCTTCCAGCACCAAGAGGTGCTATGCCCATTTTAGCCGTAGAGTGCCGAAGCAGCATAAGCCGACAGCTTATGGAAAGCTGTCAACTGAAATGATAGCGACTAATGTTGCCCGCTGAATGTCAGAGTAAGGCGACAGTCTTACCTGAAATGACATTATTGTAAAGACCTGAAATCTCGAAGCATCGACCACTGCTTCGTACAGTATCATTAGTCCTATTACACTGCAAAGCAAACAATAAGCACATGCTTAATAACTTTTGGTAAAAAAATCGCAGCCATCCAACTAGTTAATTTGTATACCCACATATGGGTATATATACGTATATATAGACCCTGACTTCATCCTAGTACATCACTGATAGGTTTCCGTATACGACAGTTCTCGTTTGCTCAAGCAACTAATGGGTTAACAAGTGTAATTTGAAAAGAGCTAATCACCACTTCCAAAGGTACGAAGCGCACTAACCATTAGGTCAACTCACACCCGCTATGTACGTCGTACCGCATACTAAAGTAGACGCCGCCTTCAAACTTTCAATAATCTATATACTTTGCGCTTGCTTGTGTAAATCGGATTGACTTCTGTCAGCTCATTTCTTTGCAGAGAAGTAACAATTCCGAAGTACGGTATGTGTAGTTTGATCCACCACTAACCTGCTATCGCTGTGACATACTTCAAGAAGAGTGCTGTGAGATTTGCAGCATGAATTCTATTATCCGGTATATGAAAACCGTGGCAATATTGAGGTTGGTCTGTTCAGCCGCTATTCATCTAGTGTTACAGGGAATGAAGATAACACTAATGACAATGTAATTAATGGCATAAACATTAAAATAACATGAGACAGATGGATAACACATGATGGAAATAAGTAAATGGATGAATAATCAGAGTCACCAGAAGAGTGAAACAAAAGCCACTGGGTGAGTGTCAAGGATGGGTTTAGTTGAGAACCCTTGGATAGACTCCATTACGTGAGGGCTGAATCTCAGTTTGGTTGGGGGCACAGCCTATGGGAAAAACTTCGTTACCGTAATGTTGTCCAGCCTCCTGCGTAGGTTGACACGGGGAAAGCAGAAATGACCTCATACCGTGATCCCGTGTTATGTACGATTCTGTCTATTCTTTCTTCTTGAAGTGGTCACTGAGCAGTGACTTCGTGTAAAGAAACCTCATTTCACTAACGTTTTGTCATTCCATTTTCCTCTGAAATTCCACAACATTTTCTGTAGCCTTCACTGAGCCAGTCCTGAGAGGTTTGTGTCTCTTTTAAGTTATAATGGAGCAGCGGTGTTGTGAACCTTAAGGTCATATCTTAGGCAGGTTTGGCACAGCGTTAACGTGGCAGCTCTAAGTTGCCTAAGTATAAAGTGTACAACTAGCATCCCTGGCCTTATCCTACTAGTAGTCCACACTCGTATCTGATTTACCGTCAGACTGTTGCCGGAATTAGTCTCTGGCGCTATACAAGACAGGAAGTAAATTGATCTCTCAACTGTTGAGGTACACATTTTAATCACTATGCATTCTTTAAGGCTAAATGACATCCCAATAACCAACTCCCCTCCTAGAACCTGTCTGGGTCTTTCAGAAATTGCTCCTTCGCCTGAAATTTTGCACCGTCAGAGTACATAACAGCCAAAGAGCTTCGCAGGTACGACAGAAGACTGGTGAATATTGAAAATACTAGAGATCCTAGAATAGAATTCTAGGAGATTCCCAAGGCCTAGCTGAGCCATGACGATCGAACAAAATCGATTTCGGCACAGAATTCCCTTTGGGCTAGGTAATTCACCACCAGTCACTACAAGGCTTATTTCGTGAAGGAAGACATCATTTTGAAACGTCTGAAACACCTAAGTGAAATCAAGAGAAACCACGAGGGATGGGACATTTGCATTCCAGTATGATACACAGTCTTCTTTGTTGAACAGAGTCCATGTTTCCTGAAACCATGTAGTGTGTTATCCCAATCAGTGTTTCCTAACATGATTGCCAACCATTCTTTACGATTACCATGGCATTACTTAGAGTGGTTTTATCGATCGACAATTCAACATCTTTACCGATTTCGACTCATGAACACATGGGAAGCGATGGTCCTCTTTCGTACGGGCACCTTCACTGAGTCTGTTAAGTGTTAAGACAGGTCACAGAATAGTGCATGACGATCTTGTGCTTACCATTTTCAGACGGAGTGAGAAACTACCATGACCCAGATATTTACTTGAATTTTCAGTTGTTCAGCTAAGACCATTGTGGGATGAATATAAAATCCACCAAATGATTTTCGCCTTATGATTCGGTGAGGAGATATTTTCATTTTCTAATGGTGATACTCATCATGCTGTTCAGTTGTCTGTCGAGAGCTGAACTCAGTGTTTCCGTCATCCCCATACTAATGAGATACTATCCATCTAGGCTTCTGAATGTAAGTTCCATAATGGGGTCACTGCTGAGTATACGGCCCCTGAAAAACACAGATCATCCAGTAGGCGGTTAGTGATTAAGGGATGCAAAAGGATGAGTCGAGTAACCAAGTATGACCTTCAATTTACTCATGGGTTTTCTGTAGCATTGTGCGCTGAATGATGGATGAACTTCCACGTCCCTGACTTGACTTCCGGGCCCTACCAACCCATCAGTCTACATACTGAACAAACGCCAAGTATCAACAGTTGTCTTATCACTTCACACGCACCACAGGTCTGTCTCACTGATGCGAGAGTAGACAGGTAGTAAGCCCGGTGATGTTAACAGTGCGTCTGTTGTCGCATTGTGTCTGGCCACAATTCATGTTTGATTTGTTTATCGACTTTACTTAAGTTTGTTCTTATTTTATATGTAGAACGCAGTAAGACGTTTTGTCACAACAATAGATAAACAAACGTCGCATCTCACATAAAGCATCCTATTAATGCTGGGGGAATGGCAACAGTAGCCATTAGAGTTCGGGAGTCTGACTGCGACAGACATGACTGTTAATTATAGTTTTCTCAGTGAGAGCACAATGCTGGCAGTTATCAAGCAGATCCAATGCTGAGATAAACACTGGCTAAATAAAAAATCCTACCCATGTCTCCAACCTACCTAAGAATAGAACAAGCCTACCCTATACCGAATCCATCAAAACAACACATTGCTCATAACAAGGAGAAGATGGTAACTTGATAGACGTTAGTGAACGTGGTATTGACACTACTTTTAACACAGTAGCATCATGCCACGAAGAACCAGTGCATGCCGATCCACACCTGAACCCGATTAAGGAGCTTAAATACTTCAAACACTACTTCAACTCTCAAATTTACCTAATTATTATATTATTATTTCCTTTAATTCCTAGAGGAACATAGGGCTTCAGCCATGCGTCTCCATTGCGTTCGGTTCTCTGCTGTAGTTTTCACCTGGCTCCAAGTCTGCCCACACGCTTTCAATTCCTCTTCACATGATCTCCTCCAGGTCACCCTTGGACGGCCAACTCGTCGCTTCCCTTTCGGGTTCCACTCGAGGGCTTGTCTAGTGATGTCACTTGCTGGTTTCCTCAGAGTGTGTCCAATCCATCTCCATTTCTTCCTGCCTATTTGTTTCACGATCGGTTCCTGGTTGGTTCGCTCCCATAGATCTTTGTTGCTGATCCTCTCCGGCCATTTGATCTTGAGTATTGAGCGAAGGCATTTGTTAATGAAGGTCTGTAGCTTGTTTGAGCTGCTCTTTGTGACACGCCAAGTCTCTGATCCGTATAGTAGTACTGACTTCACATTGGAGTTGAAAATACGGATCTTATTTTTGACGCTGAATGCTGTTGACCTCCACATAGACTTGAGAGAAATGAAAACTTGTCTTGCTTTTCCGATTCTGGCTTTGATATCCTCGTCAGTTCCTCCTGTAGTTGAGACGATGCTTCCTAGGTGGGTAGGTAAAGGAGGTTGTTTCTTTCAGGTTCCTCCCATTTATGCTGATTGTTGTCGGTTGTTGCTGTTGATGTTGGCCAGGAATCTTCATTACCTCTGTTTTGTCTATGTTCACTTGAAGTCCTATCTTTGCTGCTTCTTCTGCCAATTTGTTGCTTTTCACTTGCATATCTTCCAGTTTGTGGGAAATCAGGCATATATCAGCGGCGAGATCCAAATCCTCCAAGGCTTTTGTGTCGGTCCATTTATGCCTGTTCTCAATCACTTCGATCGACGCTGTGAAGCTTTCAAAATCGATGAAGTGAGATAGAGAGGTGACTGCCATTCCAAACTTTGTTCAATGATAATCCGTAGGGTGGCGATTTGGTCAATGCATGACTTGTTCCTCCTGAATCCGGCCTGTTCCGGACGAAGTTTTTCATCTAGGGCTTGTTTAATTCTCTCCAGGACTTGTTGGTGTGATTTGTGTCTCGGCTTTTTCCTTATGTTCATAATGTCTTTGTAGCCTGGTCCTTCAGCTTTTGAGTGTTGAACTTAGCTTGTGGTCTATCTGCAGCTCCTGTTTCCCTGAAAGCTTTTAATTTGATTTGGATTGTCCCTTGTACGAGGTAGTGGTCTGAGCCAACGTCTGCTCCTCTTCTTGCTCTTGTGTCCAGTAGGCTGCGTCTCCACTTCCTCGATATTGTGATAAAGTCAATTTGGTTTTTGGTTGGCCCATCTGGTGACACCCATGTAGCCTTGTGGATATCCTTGTGTTTGTATACGCTGCCACTAATCACTAGTTCATTGAAGGCGCAGAAGTCGGCGAAGAGTTCTCCGTTTTCATTCATTTCTCCGAGAGCTCCTCTACCCATGATGAGTTCCCTTCCTGTGTTGTCTGATCCCAGTTTGGCGTTCATGTTCATTAGTATTTTGTCTGTTATTTGCTGTAGTTGTCTGTAAATTCTTCTTTCGTTTCGAGGTCTGCGTTGTTGGTGGGTGCATAACATTGGATTATTGACACTTTTCTTCCTTTGGAGTTGAATCTGGCGGTTATTATCCTGGACGAGATCGCTTCCCATTGCATCAGGGCTTTCGTTGCCGTTGGTGACATCATGATAGCCACGCCCTCGGTGTGCGAGTGGTTATCTTCTGGTGACCAGTAGATACTGACTCACTTTTGACAATTTGGTGAATCCATTCCCGTTCCATCCGCTTTCACATATTCCCAGTACTTGAATTCTGTATCTTTTCATCTCGCTGGCGATCTGGGCAGCTTTGCCAGTCTCGTACATAGTGCGGACATTCCATGTCCCCACACAGACTTTTTCTTTTGTCGCAAGGAGATTGCTCATGGTGAAGTTTCTGTAGCAGGTTTGTTTACAGGGTGGGGTTGCTGGCCTCACGCCTGAGTTTCGTCTTCGGGTACCTGAAATGGAAGAAAGGTTAGTGTTGCGTGACCGCAGAGCCCAGGGGACATCTGCTTGAGGCCGGTCACACGCGGTCTGGTGTGTCTCAGTAGTGTACTTATCACTTCTGCCCTGTGACACGGCAGTAGAAAGCACGGTCGTTGTT